GTCCTTTTCTCCCTTTACCCCTTTAATTCGCTCCCCATCCTCAGGATGGGGGTAGGTGAGCGAACAGTTTTTTATGGGGTTGGCTCCCAGCCAAGGGTAAACCCATCACAGACATTTGAAATGAGATCTGGAGGGAAAGGGCACATGGTTGTGCTGGATGCTCTCACCCATCCATATGAAAGGAAAAGTAAACTCTCAGGTGAAGTCTCCAGGGGATGCCATGCAGGTGTCACTGTCATGCAGACATGCAGGGAGAGCCAGGCGTTGAAGGGCCGCTCTTGGGGCAAGTGGAGCCACCAGTTCCCCAGTGAGCTCATCTCATTCATCCAGTATGCCTCACAGTGCTCTGAAGACCAGCACTTGGAAAGGGTCACAAACCCCATCCAGAAGCGGTTCTCTGACAGAACACTGGAGAAGTGGTCCTCCCACAGGCTTGTATTCCGGTTTCCCAAGTGCTTCACATTGTCAGAAGACCCAGCAGCTGACTCACTGCTTTAGCAAATGGGCAGGTATTTCTCCATTTAGTCTGACATTGTCTGGATGTATCTATGCCCCATTCTCTTGGCTGTTTCACTGAATCTTGCTTTGGTTCAGGTTAAAATCTGATATATCTGGTAACTGCACTTATAGCCATTTCTCCTACCACAAGACAGTCAACAAAATTTACATTCACCTTCCTTCCCTCTCCCCAGTAGATACTCTTTGATTTTTAACTAAAAGTACACAAATCACTATGCTTCATGACAGATGTGTGTCACAGTCCACTAAGGACTCGTGATAGTTCTTTGCTGAGATCTCAAAGTGCAAAAGTAAGGCGACCACGCCAAAGGGGTTAGCTTCAGTTAAACAGTAAAAAACTTTATTATTCTGTGTCTGCGTCTGTAAGCGCCGTGCAATAGGTAAAGGGAGTGAAAAGTAAAGAGATGAAAAGAGGAATATAGCGACCACTAGGCTTCAGGATGGAGGTGTGTTTTGGTATTTTAATGACATTATAATGAGCAAAGTTCACCTCAGGATAAAGATTTTGCCACAGTGCTTGGCATAGTGTGTTCCAACTTTCTGGTTGGGCAGCCATTACACTCACAGCTCTGTTTCTTACAGTGGCACAGATAGACTTGGACAGGGCAGGGCTGTGGAATGAGGCCGTTTCACTCCGTTCCCTGTCAATCCATTTGGTACCAGGACCAGGATCTGTTGCTGTGGAAACGAGTTCTTTCCATACCAGCCGTGCCTTTGTCCCAGAAAGTGGCAGCTGTGTTTTACTTTACCCTAGGGATTTTCTTGTGACACTATAACTTTGCTACAACAGGCCTGCCAAAACACGGGTCTGGCTCGCTGGCCACATCAAAACCATGAAAACGAACACTGCAGTCTAACTGGGGATATCATGTCCTTGATGACAAGGTTGAGACAATGCTGATCTTCTAACCAACTCTTAAAATGTGTCAGGGTATTTCCACATCTAAAACACCACATCCGTTTCTAATGGTCCATCATTGCACCCATTTTTGGGCTTTGTTTTGGAAACATCTTGACTCGATGGCCAAAGTCCCCAAAGTGCAGATCTCCCAAGTGCTGGCTGGGTCACAAATCTCTCTTTCCACTCTTTGGGAGGACATCAGCACTTTCAAAGGGCACTTGATTCTCCCCTTCCAATTTTCATTTCAGAACAGATGAATCACCTTCTCAAAGCTCTTCTTTCTGCACACTGACAGTGAAGGGAGTCCATGGGACCACTGCATAAGGGGGAGGCACCAACATGGCAGATGCACCTTTATGAACGGTGTGGGATTGACTTCACCTGAATGTAGAGCTCTCCAAGGGAAGAAGTCCAGACTGAATGTCTACTCCTCCCTTCTGGAAGCAGTGGTGCTTCTGGAGGGGATTCTCCTGTGTCCGCCTATGCTGGGCACTTGGCTCTTAGACCAACAGCCAGGACCAGGCACCAGTGCCCAATGACAGGCTGATGCCCACCCTTGTCAGCTGTACCTATGGCTATGTGGAAAAACCGTGAGAGCAGTTGTGCCTCCTACCACAAGCTTCGTTCTCCAGCTGTGGCCATCAGTGGAGGAACAGGGAAAGGGAACAAGAAGACAAGCTAATCGGTTCCTTGCCCCCAGTACTCACTCCGGAGTACCAGCTATTTTAAACAGAGGGCATTGAAAAGCCTGGTTTGGCTTGTTTCTGGTATCACCTCCAACGGGTCGGCCCCAGAGCAGGTTTCTTGGTCTCTTGTCATCATCAAAGACCCTGGCTCTAGGCACAGCTGTAAAACTCATGCTGGCACGTGCTTCCCAGCAGCACAGGCTGGGGAGGCAGAGGCCCAGCCTCCCCACAGCCCCCAGGTGCCCCTGCTGGGCAGGCTGAGCTCAGAGCTCCATGCAAGCAGTGGCTGGGAGGGAACCGCTCCTCAGAGCACCCCCCACAGCCCCCCTGCCCTGTTTCTGTGCAGTGTTGCAAGCTGTGGGCACCAGTGTGGGTTCAGTGTACACAAATAGGCAGCGCTGTCCTGGAGCTCGGCATCATGCACACGCAGAAGCACCTGGGAGGTCTCCACAGACAGTGCAGAGAAGAACCTCTCTGAATCCACCTGAGGTTTCTGTTTGTACACCCACAGCAGCATCTGAGGGGACTGGCCCTGGCGCTGCTGGTACCAGTAGATGTAGTGATTGGAATAGCTGGTGGTGAAATTGCAGTGCAGAGTTGCGTTGTGTCCCACCTGGGTGGTCATTTCTGCTGGGAACTGGAGCACAGCATCCTTTTGGGCGTGACCTGTAAAGCCAGAAAGGGCTTTCAGCTTTGCTTGCCTGTGCACCTGTCCATCTAACACTTCACCAGCTTGCTCACTGTCCCCACGTTCCATCTCACTTTTCCGAGCCTCAGAAAGGCTGAGATCATTGGCCCTGCACACTTCTTGCTGCAGGATCTTGCCACTCCTCACCCCCCACATCATCCTGCTTTTCAGCAATACTCACTGGTCTTTCAGCCCACTAATTCTCTCCACAGCTGCCTCTGAACTGTGTTACCTGTTGAGGAACTGTTCCTCTCCCACCTCTGACCATATGTTCTTGCTAGAACAGTTCCTCCATATGACACACCGCATCCCCTGCCCTTGCCCTGTCCTTCTGTGGCATTTCAGCTCTTCTCATATTGAGTTACTCTTCTCTGTTTGTCACAATGTTTACAACCATCCCTACAGAGATGGGTAGCATTTTATCCAACACATCGAGGAGAGAACCTCCTGTGTGGTGCATTGCTCCATTCTGTCACATCTTTCCCTCTTTGAGGCTTCATCCATTTGAGCAGCACATTCAGGAACGCGCAGTACCTGCAAATTGAGGCTGAGGTCTTATTCTTCCTTTGATGCCCATTACCCCTGACATCTCCCAGACTCTTTGCCGTTCCCATCTGCAGCCCCTGCTCTCCCTACAGAGACACTCCCAGATCCCCCTGGGAGTCAGGACTCACGTCTCCTCCTTCCACCAGCAGCCGCACAAACTCTCGCCCCTTTCTCCCCAGATGGAATGTCACATCTCACCAAAGCCTGCCAGTTGCAGCATGGCTGCCAGGAAAATCAGGACCATGTCACGCTCTCCCTTTGTGGGGTGCCCAGGGACCTGCCAGCACGAGGGACCTGCTGCTCGCATCTTCCCCTCTTCTGCTGCCTCTGCCAGAGCACAGAAGCCTCCAAACCACAGCCTAGAGGGTGGAGCAAAACTCGTTCCCTGCTGCTCCAGACAGACCCCTCTCTGGCTCTGAACCCACCCTCTACCACAGAGCCCTCTTTGGCTCTGAGAACCTCACCCTCTACAACAAGAATTCTCTCTAGAGAGACAATGAACTCATGGTTCAAGTACTGTCCATCAGAGGGACAGGCATCCCTTAGGAACTCCTCCAGACATCCAGCACCCACTCACCTGCACAGGTCTGCCCCCAGCTCTGCAGGAGGTGGAGGACATACCCCTGCACCCACCCATGTCCACCCTGTCCCTGGGACTGTCGGGATGGAGACAGGACCAGGCACACACTGAAGTGCCTGGACCCAGGTGTCATACACGCTCTCACTTCACCTCTGGCCATAGAGGAGGAACCCGAAGAGAAACGTCTCTGTACAGAGCATCTGCTGCAGAAAGCAGCTGCCCAGGGACAGACACATTCCCTCACTCTGGCAGGGGAAGGACATGGCAACACTCCCTTGTACAGGCTGTCCCTCTGTGTCCCTTCACCTGCCCACATCACCTGTAACCTCCCGCTGCTTGTCCCACCCTGGGACCCAGAACCTCACTCAACCTTTGGCTCAGGCAAGCCAAAGGGCCACTTGATGGTGATGTCTGCTGATGTCTGCTGCCTGGAGCAGGGCTCCTCTGCTGCTCCTTGCCCAGCGATCTTTGCTCACCCCAATGGCAGGGACCAACACCAAAGTCTCTCAGTCCTAGGTTAAGGGGAGTCCTGTGCAACAAGCTCTATGTCCCCAGCACCTGCCACTGTGCGATACACTTGAATGTGCCTGTGACAATCAGGATCTCCTTGACATGGTGGTGCCGGGGTAGAACTGCTGGCTCTACAAGATGTCTTTCCAATACCCACTGGAACACTCCAGAAGCAGACTGTCAGTTTGCAACTCTGTATCTGAACCTATTTACAGAGTGACCAGCACAAAACCACTTCTGTTTGTGCTTCCAAAGCAACGGTTTGTGTTGACACTGGGTCAGTTGTGTCTTTGTGTTCTCCCTGGGCCTAGCTGCTAGGGTGACAGAGATGCCTAGCCCCTGTCCGGGGAGCAGCAGCAGTGGCCGGTCCATGCAGCAGGATTGAGGGGTGCCCAGCTGCCCGTGTGCAGGAGGATCTCTGCTGCCTGCCTCCCCATGCAGAGCAGAAAGGCACTGCTCCTCACAGGGAACCAGCAGGGCCGGCGGCTGTGGCCGCTCCTTGCCAGGCCCATGTCTGGCTGGATGAAGAGGCTGCTAGCAGTAGCAACAGTCTTATGTGGAGATGTTGATGCATGTCCTTGGAGGGAAAAACCACTGGGAATCTGTCCCCTCTGTGCTGCAATTCTGAGACAATGCTGACAGCCTTTCCAGACAGGCCAGAGGATGCCCCACTACGAGAGTCTGAGCACTTTGTGGGGCAGCAAGAGAGCCTCATGGAAAATCCCCTCCTCCCCTCCCTTCCTTGCACAGACCACCTCAGTCTTTCTTGATAGCACTGAGAGAGGACGGCTCTTTGCTGCCTTCAGAAGCAGAGATCTGCAGCACCCAGCAATGAGAAGAGTTGCTGAGCTGTATTGGGTGTTGCTGAGATGGAGTTAATTTTCCCCACAGCAGCCCTCATAGTGCTGTGCCTTGTGCTGGCAACTAGAAAGGTGTTGGTGACACACCAGTGTTTTGTCTACTGCTGAGCAGTGCTGGCACTTGGGAGGCACAGCCAGGACAGCTGACCCAAATAGGCCAAAGGGATATTCCATCCCATATGATGGCTGCTCTGCAAAAATTGTAAGCGAAAGGAGGAGGAGAAGGGGCATTTGTTATGACAACATTTGTCTTCCGGAGCAACAGCTATGCATACTGGAGCCCTGCTTCCTGGAAGTGGCTGGACACTGATGACCCTTCCTAATGGGAAGCAGAGAAAAACATCCCTTTCCCCCCTTTGCTTCCACAAGCAGCCTTGGCT